GCTGGTAAAGACTGTCCATACAGTATAACAGTGCAGTTGTAAGGGGTGATCTGCCTTCCCATGTTTAATGATGTTTGGTTAGCTCTATATAGCAGGGTTGTGTAATAGTCCAGAATTTATGCATTGTGACCCATTCATGAATACTAATATGAAGAAACTGTATGCATTGCCATCAGTTCCCTACTGGAACCAGCCCCCTCAGATGGACTGGGTGCAACATGGTTAACTTTCAGGAAGCTGCAATGCACACTGCTTGTTAAAGGCAGTTGGACTCAACAGGGATTCATACAACCTCCCAAAAGACCAAGGAATCATGGGCCTTGATATGTGACTAGGAATGAAGCTTTAGTTATCTGTCTAAGCTTGCTTTGTGGAGTAGCCCTTTATGGAACACTAGGTCTGTCTTGGTTAGCAACACTAACATCCCCCACTTTGTTTAGAACCAAGTCTCATCACCATGGATGAGAACTTATTACACAGAATATAAAGCACAATATGTCAAATATTTCATTAGAGTAGCCAGTACAGTATGGAAGTTAATCTACAATTATACCCAGAAATCAAACCACACACACAACCACAATTCCCCATCTTGCAGCCTGGATTTCAGTTTCTGTGGATTACTGAGATCTATTTGCTTCTCTTTAGTTTTCAGCAGTCTGTAAAGAGAGCTCTGCTTGTTTGATTTGTACAATCAATTGCACAACAGCTCTTAGCCAGGGTGACCACTGAAACAATGTTGGGGGACAATGAGCTAGGACAGGGATTTCACTTTAGTATTTGCTGTGTGTTGATTGGTCAGTGTCCTATAATCATGCATGTGTCACATGTTAATGTGAAACAGCTGGATGAGTCTTTTAAAAAAACTAACCAGTGAATGTACAAGGCGAACCAAACCATTTTCTTGGGCACAGGTGCCTTTCAGGTTCAAAGTAGTTTGTAAAACCTGAAGTAACTCAGTGTCCCTCCTGACATGGATTAGCTGGTCACCCTATACTCTTACCCTACTGCAGCGGTTCTCAAAGTCGGTCCTCACGCCCCACTGCCTTGTTTTCCTGCTATCCTTGCCCCACACACAAGTCCCAGCTGTCTTTCAGCTTCTGATTGACTGAACACACCTGATCCAGGTAATCAGCAGTGTGTAGGGCAGGGATAGCTGGAAAATAAGCAGGGCAGTGGGGCCTGAGGACCGAGCTTGAGAAACACTGCCCTACTGTGACGTCATGTGCGTATCCCGCTGGATGTCGAATTGAAATTTGAAATGGAATGTCAAGAAGCAGAATCTAATTCATTTCAAGTCAATGAAATTCAATGCAACCACACAATACTGTAATGTTGTTTAATCTAGAGAAACATAATTATGTAATATATATTCTTTGTAGATGGTACACGTATATACTGATCTTGTATATGTACGAGTGAGTGAAATGCACTTTGCATGATCGTAAGAGAACAATTTTAGCCTATTCTAACAATGTACATTTCATTAATGTTGTCCCTTCGAACTGCAATTCTGCATCCTGTTTTCAGCCAATTCTATGAATTTAATTTGAATTTCAAGGTCATTCGCAATTCATTTCTGAATGGTGCACAACCCCGTTATGTACTCAAATTGCATACAGGTGTTAAAACAACAAGCCCTTTTGCGCTAATTTATAGTCTATATTATAGTTTTATATTGCAACATTGACCTTATTATTAGTGCTGTTGTTATTACAGTTTGTCTCAGTCGTTTGGTTACTCGTAAATTTACAAGCAAAGATTACGAAATACTTTAGTTACGAAGTGATTCGCGAAAAATTCACTAATTAACGATTTACCTTAAGTGTTAGATAACTACCCCACCTCGGAATGGTGCACAACCCTGTTATGTAGACTATAGGCTTCAGGTGTTAAAGCTACAAAGACAATAATGTAATATACATCAGGCGACCTCTCTGTCTCTTTGACAGAATAGCAGAGAAGTTCAAATAAAGAACGACGGGCATGGAAAATAACTAGGGTTGGATCACTCGTTAGTTTACGAACGAGATTACGAAGTACTGGGAAAATAATTGGTAATTACCCACTAAACATTGGACGTCGGATAGGCGTGCAGATCATGTCTATATT